ATAATAATAATAATAATAATAATAATAATAATAATAATAAAAAATAATAATAATAATAATAATAATAATAATAATCATTCTCTATCAGCTTTTTAACTCTCGATTCACACACACCTACATGGTTATGTGTGTGAATATTTGTAAATCAAACGGTTAAAAAGCCCACTCTGGCAAATTTATACCTGCCTGTGAGGTACTGCCCTTCGAGCTTTTTAACCCTCGATTCAAACACACCTGTGTAATGTGTGTAAATCGAACGGTTAAAAGGTCCACTTGCACTCATAGCTACATCATCTTGTGCAAGTTGAGATCAGTTGACCAAATAAAAGTGATGGATTTGATGGCATCTAAATAATTGAGTTTTTAATAATGAAACAATAATTCACCTAACTTGAACGTTCAAGTCTTGAAGATCTCAAATAGCATTTGGCTTAGACGACCAAAATTCAATTTAGCTTTATTTGTATAATCCAAGTTGCAGTCATTAAACAATTTATAAGATTATAGACATAATTTTATATTGGAGTCATGTGTAAAGTATTGGTGGAATATCACTTGTGAGTTGTCCCACATTAATTCTATAAAAAAATAACTCTACTATATAAGCCTAGTGGACTACTCTTCTTATCACCTGGTTTTGAGATGAAACATCATTAAGGTGCACTTAAATTCACCCTCTTATGGTGCACTTCATCATATCCGTAAATCAAGTAGTCTCACACTTGAAAACTTTGGAATTCATGATGACCAATCACATTAGACAAATATTGAGAATTCAAGTTAGATTTGGCCAAAAAAATAAAAATAAATAAAATAAAATGGTTAATTAGGATGGAGGATAAAAAAAAACAACAAATTACCAATATTTTCATTTGTCACCCAACTTACTAAATAAGTATATATATGCTGTGGAAATATCCCAAATTTAAACTCTACCTTCCTCAAATGGAAACCTTTTCCCCCTTTCTCCATACAACAGAAACTCACCCATCAAAACTTAAACTTCCCTCACTTAAGATCACAAATGTCAAACCCATGATCACAACAAACAACTACTCCTCCTTAATAACCACCACTTTTGATCCCATCAAGAAACTCCTCACAATCAACCCTCAAACCATTGACCACACACAACACATCACCAAGAAGACGAAGGCCGACGAAAACCGACCGTCCCTCGCGAACCGCATCCTCAACGCGCTCGACGACTTCGTAAACTCCAACATCGACATACCTTTCCACCCTTCGATCGACCCGAAAACCGTCCTCTCGGACAATTTCGCCCCCGTGGACGAGCTCCCCCCCACGGCATGCACGGTTGTTGAGGGCTCACTCCCTCGTTGCCTCGATGGTGTGTATGTGCGAAACGGGCCCAACCCGCAATTTGCCCCAACCGGCACGTACCAC